ATAGAATAGAATAGAATAGAATAGAATAGAATAGAATAGAATAGAATTCTTTATTGGCCAAGTGTGATTGGATACACAAGAAATTTATCTTTGGTGCATATGCTCTCAGTGTACATAAGGGAAAAAATACATTCATCAAGAATCATAAGATACATTTCATGATAGTCATAGGTTCTAATAAGCAACCAAATCATACTAGGAAACAAATAAAACAATACAAATTGTAAAGATACAAGCAACAGGTTATAGTCATAAGTGGGAAGAGATAGGTACTAGGAAGTGTTATTATAATCTAGTAGTAGAGGAATAATAGTAATACAGTCTTAGTTAATAAGTTGACAGTGTTGTGGGAATTAGTCGTTTAGCAGAATGATGACATAAAAAAACATATAAAGTTGGATGTAGTGTTGAAGTAGACAGTTTTAAATAACTGTTATAAGAAAATAGCTGAATCAATAATATCGGGATTCACATCAGTGTTTTTAAAATGTCCATGCAGTTTAAATCCAAAACATAAAAAATTGCACTTTATACCGCACAAAGATGTTGGCTAGAACTGCTATAAATAAATAACTTTATCATAACAAATATTGAAAGGCCATTAAATATTGGAGAATACCGGTTTTTCTCATCTACAGTATATTTCAACAGCAATAGATGTACATTTCATTGATTAAGAACTACAAAATCATTTTCAGTGCCTACTGACCACATACAGAGATCTTTTCTGAAAATACTTAACACATGGGGTTTGTTTGAGTGCACAAATGCACCTACAGTATACATACACACTATACTAGAGTCAGTTTGGTCTAGTGATGAAGGTACCAGACTAGAAATTGGGAGACTGAATTCTAGTCCCATCTTAGCCATGAAAGCTGGCTGGGTGATCTTGGGCCAGACAGTCTCTCTCAGTCCAACCCACCTCACAGGGTGGCTGTTGTGGGAGAAAAGGAGGAGAAAGTTATGTTAGATATAGCAGTAGCACTTATATACCTCCACATAGTTCTTTACAGCACTTTCTGGGAGATTTACAACGTCAACATATTGCCCCCAACAATCTGTGTTTGGAGAAAGTCAGGAAGACTGTTTTAATGGCATAGAACTGGAGGTCTTCAATGGATTATCAGAATGTTAAATAGAGCTTTTGAACACAGCGGTGGTTGGGAATATCAACAAAATTTTATCGGGGAAGTAAAAATAAAATAGCAAATGGGAGACATTTATTAGGATAAATATCCTGTACGTTATAAAACACAGCCCATTGATTGCTTTAAAAATAGCATAGTCTCCTAACATAGTTTAAAAATGGGTGTGTTGTTTAAAATTTCCTGGAATTTATTTGGATTTATATTTAAAAATACTACATATGATCTGTACAGAATTCCTTGTTCTATAATTCTTTCTAGAAATAGTTGGAATTATTTTGACCTAATGGAACATGTTAACATTTCATTGACTTCATTGAGATTTTACAAGAACTTGTCATTTCTCAAAGATATCAAATCACAATTTTAACTTTCACCAACCTGTTATAAAAGAGAATTAAGAATCCGTAGGCATGTCAAAATGGTACTAACCAATACATTTGTTTGTTAATAAATGCAGTGAAGGGTTTGATTAAGAAAAGGTCAATAGTTAAGAGTGGTTGTTTAGTGACCGGATAGTATTCATTATAATGAACTGGAATTATCCTTAAGAACAGTTGTATATTAATTAAATCATTTGGATTCAATGGTCGGTAGATATCTGCCTTATACTGTGTTCTGAAGCAAGAACAGGTCTCCAAACAGATGTACAAGTCTCTAAACAGATCACAGTTTTCAGCAGCTTCATAGCAGGAACAGATCTTGCATTTTTCAATTCTTCTTTGAATATCAGGAATGAGAAACTATGAAGACATTGCAGCTTGCGTTATAGACATTGTCACAATCCTCAGGAATTAATACGTCTGTCTGTCCATCTATCCATCCATTCATTCATTCATTCATTCATCCATCCATCCATCCATTTTCATTCAGTCATTCAGTCATATTCTTTATTGCAGTCAATGGCCAGTCTGTAAAACATAATGAATATGTTAGTTTAGGAATCTGCAACTATTAGCATCAGTAGAAGCAAAGAACAAGCTATTAACCTATATTGTTTTGGGAAAGTGGGAGCTGAAAAGCAACCTACAGGATTGGCAATCGAGTGAATGATGCTGAGAATCTTTTTCCTCTAAAATGTGTTCATACAAGAATCTAAACCAGAGGACTCATCCCAATGTTAGTTAAATCTTACTAGTCACATTTGGGCCCACATCTGCACATTGCAGGACCCCAAAAGAACAAAATGAAGCAGAGAGTTTGTCCACTGCCTAGCATTCACATTCCAAACTGTCAGTCAGATACAACTTTTCTCAGGTGTGTTGATAAGAGCCTGAGATTTCTATCCTGTGTGTTTTACCTGTGGTGCTAAGGAACATCTCCAGAGTATTTAAAAATACAAAGCATGTGGCAGTAGTGGCAGTTGATTTAGAAGAGACAGGTCTGGGAAGTGCATGTCATACACTATTCAGATTATTATTCAATGGATCCATGTTAAAACAAGTAGGAGTGGCTATTTTTAGAGGACTCTACTTTTTTTTTATCCACTGGGGTTTTACTGTCAAGCTACTAAGGGAAAGGCCATTTTCTTGGAATATCTGTCTTTATAGCATCTCCAGAAACTTTGGAGTGTACACTCCACAGCAATCAAAGTTTATTTATCCTCATTTAATAGCTATGCATGAAATCACTAGAAAGCAGTGTTGGAAGTAAATGGAAAATCACTGAGAGATCTTTATTTCTTCCCTGAAACTATTCTTTATCATGATGATTCACATGCCTGGGTCTAAGCAGAGCTCACTCAGAATCTTCTTGACCTTATAAAAATGTCTCGCCGAAAATTTTGGGCCTGTGTTCTTTTGCGATCAGGACATAACTGCATACCCCTTTTTCAGATAGTAACTCAGAAGTCATTCCCTTTGTTCTTCGTTTGCTTTTCACTTTCACTGAGATCAGTATATGTTTTTAGCATTTGGGGAGTCCATCCCAGATGTTGTGGATTTTTTGAAAATCGATGGTTGCAGCCATCAGATTTTGTTATAAGATCAGCAACCAAAAGTGTCCTCTTCTGATCTGGGGTCACTTTGCAAGAGCAAGGATTCCATCTGCATCTTTTCATCATTAGATTCCCCTGTCATAAGGATGTAGGACAACTTCCTATCTGTATCTAGCATTCCCACCTGGATTTTCATTCTCAAAAGGATGTAGCTTTTAGAGCTGCAGTCCTTTGTATTGTACCTTATGAGCACTAAGCCCCTCTAGATAATAGACCAGCTATTCACCCATGAGTGTATGATCACAGAGACCACAGTGAAGAACTGATTACTTATCTGTAACTGAAGTGTTTTTTTTTAGTAGTTATCTATGAGTTCACTCATCCCTCCCTCCTACCTTCTTTTGTTCTGGGTGACCTCAATATTTCTCTTAGAATTCACTATATTGGTTTCAGGCATAGAGGGGATTTAGGGAAAGCTGCACCTAGTCATGTGTGGTATGCAGAGAGTTGCACTTCAGGCAAGAAATTCCATATACTTTAGAAGTTTCAGAACAAAGTTTTATTCAAGATACATTGCGTACAAATTGGCAGGTGATCTTTTCACTTACATTAAATAACCAGTTGTTTCAAATCAAAGTTATTAATTGGGAAAAGTTATTTGTTGGTTTAGAATGAGATGTCATCAGCATGTGTATGATAGATGACTGCTCCCCCTCTCTTGGTCTCTCTCTCTCTCTCTCTCTCCCCGTCTCTCTGTCTCTCTCTCTCTCTGCAAGAAAGAGAGAGACAAGCTGACTGAAAATGCTACAGAAATCTTGAAATACCGTCAGGTATGGAAGCTATAAGGATATAAAAAGAGAAACACAAAATCCAATAGAGCAGTGGTTTTCAACCTTCCTAATGCCGCGACCCTTTAATACAGTTCCTCATGTTGTGGTGACCCCCAACCATAAAATTATGGCTCAGTTCCTAAGATTGTCGAAAATATGTGTTTTCCGATGATCTTAGGTGACCCCTGTGAAAGGGTCGTTCGACCCCCAAAGGGGTCACAACCCACAGGTTGAGAACCACTGCAATAGAGAAAAATATAAGGAGCTCAGGGTTGAATTGTGATGCTCTCTGAGCTTGGTGTTCTCTGAGCATGGCTGTTTGCTTGTAAGGTACGGTAACATCATCAGTGCTACTGAGTGTGAAGTTTGTTCCCTGTTTATATACAATAGCTTGTTTTGCCAGAATTGGCTGGGTTGTGGTTTTCTCCTTGATTGTTCCTTCATTTTAGGGTATTGTTTTCTGATTGATTGCCTGATATGAGTAGAAATAACATTAGATTATATCTACTAAAGTGGAATTGAAGTTTATTAATACCGTATAATTGAATAAGCCAGTCTGACTATTGATAGAATTGTGATTCCCCAAATAGAACTGTGCCATGATTTGAGACTTTCCTGAACTCCGGGTTCTTTGAAACATTAGTAGGATCCTTCACCCTATTCTGACTGATATGTCAATTTCCTCCCTATCTGGACTAGCCTACCTGTTGGCAACAATAATTTATGCCCTGCAGTAACTTTGTGTGTTGGGCTACTTTTGAAGATGACTCAGAATTTGTAACTGATCCAGAATGTAATGGTCATTTACCAGACTATTGCAGGACATCTATACAGTACTTAGATTACTAAGCATTATGATAGGTTATCAGTAGGTTTCTGGGCCCAATTCAGTCTAGTTATTCTTTAGGAAGCCTTATTGAGCCACTAGCATAGATTTTGTGACCATGATACCCCCAAAAAAGTTTCTGCCCATCTAGTACAGTCAACCAAAAAAGGCCTATTATCATCTCCATTCCACCCCCCCACCCCCACCCCAGAGTTCGTGGGCCAGGACAAAACAACAGGCCTTTTCAGAAATAGCTTCCAAATACTGGAGTGTTTTGTAGCGGACCCTAACTTTTCATTCATTTAGAAAGACCCTCTTATTCTTACAAGGCCAATAATATGATTATCGTCCAATTATTTGTTGGATTAAAAGAATATTTCATAACATTTTAGTTTTGGTTTCTTGCACTGCCCAGAATCCTTGTGATTACAGTGATGTGCAAATATTGTTAAATAAATAAATAATGCTCCAATGTGATTAAACCATTATTTCCTACAAAAGCAAAGGTTTTTGTTCATTGTGACTTTTCTATCTGCTGCTCTAAAATTGTGATCTTTAGATGAAAGATAATGCTACCAGAGTACAGTGAGTTGAACTGCATATAAAATTAATAAAATAAAAAATAAATAAAGTAAGTAAGTAAGTAAGTAAGATGCCTGGATTTCTTAATTAAAGTGAGTTCTTACTTTCATCCTGGATATTTGAATTCTGGAGCTTAGAAGACTCCAGAATTAGAGGTGGAATATCTTACCAAATTTGAGACAGCAGCAACAGCTGTAGATAGAATAAGATGTGGTTTGGAGAGATTTCTTTTGGTCTGTTCAAGTTGAAATTAACATAAGATCATAGAAAGAAGTACCTCTCTCCTTTCAACTTGTTCCAGGTTTGAACATTTTTCTCATAGGCAAGAAAGATAGTTTAGGAATTTTGTTGCTATACAGTACCAAAAGACAGTCTTGAACTTACTGTTAAGGGTCCTAAAGGAAGCACAATATCTCTACTGATGATGCTATAGGGGAAGTAAGGGAGAACTTTTGGCTATTCATTATAGACCCAAGTGAAATGCAGCTCAGATTTGACATATGGCTGATTTTGTTTTGAAGCTTTCCAATGAATCAATACAGGTAATTCTCAACTTAAGATCATAATTGGAACCAGAATTTCCATTGCTAGGCAAGGCAGTTGTCAAGTGACTCACACTCAGTATTGTGATCTTTTGTGCCATTGTGATTAAGTGAATCACTGCTGTTAAATGAATCACAGAGTCATTAAATCCAGCTGCCGCATCACCTTTACTTGTAAGTAGCATCTGGGAAGGTTGCAAGTGGCGATGCTGCAACTGTTGTAAACATGCCAGTTGCTAAGCAACCAAATTTTGAACACAGGTCTGTAGGGATGCCGCGGTATATGTAAGTGTGAGGATTGGACATAAGTAACTGTTTTCAGTGCCATTTTAACTTTGGTTATTCGCTAAAGGGATAGTTGTAACTTCAGGACTATGTGAATTTATAAGGCAAAATGAAACTAGTTTAATCTGTAACTATGTTCATCAGCTTGCACCTTAAATTTGTAGTGATATTTTGTGCACTGTAAATTTGCAACAGCAATAGCACTTAGACTTATATACCACTTTACAGTGCTTTACAGCCCTCTCTAAGCAGTTTTATAGAGTCAGCCTATTTCCCCCAACCATCTGGGTCCTCATTTTACCAACCTCGGAAGGATGGAAAGTTGAGTCAACCTTGAACCTGGTGAGATTTGAACTGCCAAAATGCAGGCAGCCGATAGTTAGCAGAAGTGGCCTGCCATATAGCACACTAACCACTGCACCACCGAGGCTCTATGATGTTCTATGTTATCTTGCCCCACTTTTGGGGGGATAAACCAGCAGGTTCAGTATGCATTATTAGAGAAAACAGATTGCTTTACTACCAATTGAAAAGCTAATTTCTTTCTTTTGTATTTGCATTAACCAGAGTATGACAATAATATTAAAATATGATTTGCAGGAATGCTCAGAGAAGCGAATGTTTGGAGGGACATTTCCTACTTTCCCCTTTATCTATTACTATGACAATGAATATGACAACAAGAGGAGTCTTCAGAGAGCAAAGAAAAAAGTGCAAGGTATGATATACACTGCTCAAAAAAATAAAGGGAACACAAAAATAAGACATCCTAGATCTGAATGAATGAAATATTCTTATTAAAATACTTTGTTCCTTACATAGTTGAGTGAGCTGACAACAAAATCACACAGAAATTATCAATGGAAATCAAATTTAGCAACCCATGGAGGTCTGGATTTGGAGTTACACTCAAAATTAAAGTGGGAAAAAACACTACAGGCTGATCCAACTTTGATGTAATGTCCTTAAAAGAAGTCAAAATGAGGCTCAGTAGTGTGTGTGGCCTCCACGTGCCTGTATGACCTCCTTACAACGCCTGGGCATGCTCCTGAGGAGGTGGCAGATGGTCTCCTGAGGGATCTCCTCCCACACCTGGACTAAAGCATCCCCCAACTCCTGGACTGTCTGTGGTGCAACGTGAGGTTGGTGGATGGAGCGAGATGTGATGTCCCAGATGTGCTCAATTGGATTCAGGTCTGGCGAACGGGTGGGCCAGTCCATAGCATCAATGCCTTCGTCTTGCAGGAACCGCTGACACACTCTAGCCACATGAGATCTTGCATTGTCGTGCATTAGGAGGAACCCAGGGCCAACCACACCAACATATGGTCTCACAAGGGGTCTGAGGATCTCATCTCAGTACCTAATGGCAGTCAGGCGACCTCTGGCAAGCACATGGAGGGCTGTTCAGCCCCCTAAAGAAATGCCCCCCCACACCATTACTGACCCACTGCCAAACCGGTCATGCTGGAGGATGTGGCAGGCAGCAGACCGTTCTCCTCAGCATCTCCAGGCCCTATCACGTCTGTCACATGTGCTCAGTGTGCACCTGCTTTCATCTGTGAAGAGCACAGGGCGCCAGTGGCGATTTTGCCAATCTTGGTGTTCTCTGGCAAATGCCAAATGTCCTGCACGGTGTTGGGCTGTAAGCCCAACACCCACCTGTGGACGTCGGGCCCTCATACCACCTTCATAGAGTCTGCTTCTGACCGTTTGAGCAGCCACATGCACATTTGTGGCCTGCTGGAGGTCATTTTGCAGGGCTCTGGCAGTGCTCCTCCTGTCCCTCCTTGCACAAAATCGGAGGTAGCGGTCCTGATGCTGGGTTGTTGCCCTCCTACGGCCTCCTCCACGTCTCCTGATGTACTGGCCTGTCTCCTGGTAGCACCTCCATGCTCTGGACACTACACTGACAGACACAGCAAACCTTCTTACCACAGCTCGCATTGATGTGCCATCCTGGATGAGCTGCACTACCTGAGCCACTTGTGTGGGTTGTAGACTCCGTCTCATGCTACCACTAGAGTGAAAGCACTGCCAGCATTCAAAAGTGACCAAACCATCAGCCGGAAAGCATAGGAACTGAGAAGTGGTCTGTGGTTACCACCTGCAGAACCACTCCTTTATTGGGGATGTCTTGCTAACTGCCTATGCTTTCCACCTGTTGTCTATTCCATTTGCACAACAGCATGTGAAATTGATTGTCAATCGGTGTTGCTACCTAAGTGGACAGTTTGCTTTCACAGAAGTGTGATTGACTTGGAGTTACATTGTGTTGTTTAAGTGTTCCCTTTATTTTTTTGAGCAGTGTACATATAGATTTAGTGATTTTGCTTTTATTTTAAAAAATTTCAGGTTACTATCATGTTTACTGCCTCTTTTAACTTAATCTAGGATGGGTAACCTTTCCCAGAAGGCTTCATGTGGTCCCCAGTACTACTATCTGCAGCCCCCCCTAATAACCCGCAATCATGCCAAAATTTAGTGACCTTTAGCCAAAATTTAGTCAAGGTCTAATGGCACAATTTAAAAAAAAGCTGGTATGAGAATATGTTGCCTCTGATTAATTTCTGTCCTTATTTCTACCTTTGGAATCCACCATAGGCCCTTTAAAAATGTAAACAAATAAACAAACATCAACCTGATTTTTGCTACAAGCGCTCAGCACTTCCAGAATATCAGAAGACCAAACTGGAAACTCTAGTTCTTTATAGTTTGTGTAATCTCTTCTCTAAAAAGAACAATACTTCATGTGTGTAATATCTGATCTCTATGTTCTAGATGGCTAACAATCTCATAAAATAAAAACTTGAACATTAAGGTTCAAGAGGAATTCCCCCAACCCCCTCCCAAATGTACCAAAACATAGATTGACATTAGAATTAGAGCTGACCAAATCACGGTAGGATTTCCAAAATATAATGATAGCTATCAGAAAATCACCCTTCCAGTGGCAATCTTGTAAGAATAGATCATATGGCTGAGTTGATTTGATCATGGTTGGGTTGAGTGGACAGGCAGATGAATACAAGTGAAGACAGTCCCTTAGAGTAGAGCTATTTAGGACCTTAATGACAGCATCCAGCATCTTGAATTGCATCTGGAAGCAAACTCGCAACCAGCTCAGCTCTTGAAGAAGCAGGGTCACCTAGGTGTATCAGGTTATATGTATCTTCATCAGCTATTGATTCCAAAATTTCTTCAAGAGCAGATCCAAGGTGAATGAATTACCACAATGGAAAGAGGAGATAACTAGCATACAAGCGACTGCCCAATCCAAGAATGTCCACAAATGGTGGGTTGGAGATAAAAATAATGCAAAGGCTTTCCAGTCACAAAACCTCCAGATTGTGAACTACCTTTGAATGGGAGAAGACAACTTGGTTCATTACTCTCTGTCTCAGAGAGTGTCAATCTGAATCTGTTCTTCTAGGGACTGAGTGAGAGGTTCTCACATTGCATGTATGACTCAAGGCCCAAATATATGACTATCAGCTTTTGAATGCTGGGGTATCATCAGCAAGGACAGCTTTATTTATTAAAGCTTTGGTTCAATATATCTATACAATTGTTATACAGAGTATTGTTATACTGGGAACTGTTGCTTTCTGTGGTGATTGTGCCCATCAAGGACAAAGATGCTAAGAGAGATGAATGTATATTCTATATGCTCTCCCCTTTCCAAAATGAAGCCTAACTTTCCTCGTCATAGAGGCCCTTCAGATGTGGTTTATCTTTCCCCAATAGGAAATGAGATACTTTAAAAAGAGCTGCTAGGTAGCATTTGGCAAATGCAATCAAGACAGCAAAATATCTCCTTTCTACTATTTGATTCACAACTATGTAGATTCAAATACCATCTGGTCAGTTACATCATCCAATCAGACTTGTGATGGGTCTTCTTCCAGCAGTATTTACTGGTATGTCCTGCTTCATCTCCTTGAACTCCTCAATAAGTCAAGAATTTGCAGTGAATCTGCAAAAAGGAAATTTTTAGCTTATTTGTAGTAATAGCAGTACCACTTTATAATGCTCTCCAAGCGGTTTACGGAGTCAGCATATTGCCCCCAACAATTTGGGCCCTCATTTTACCCACCTCAGAAGGATGAAAGACTGAGTCAACCTTGAGCCTGGTGAGATTCGATCTGCCAAATTGCAGGCAGCCGGCTGTCAGCAGAGGTAGCCTGCAGTACTGCACTCTAACCACTGCGCCACCGAGGCTCTTGTAGGTTAGTCTCCTCTCAGGATTGTCTCACATGACTTTCCAAAATAAAGTTAAATTTGTTCAACTTTTTGCTTAAAATAGGCGTTTGTATTTTATCAAGAATCACTTGATTTCAAAGATATTCTAATTTCTAATTACTTTATTGGAAGATTTATCCAATTTTGGTATCGGATATTTGATTTGAGGTTTCACACACTGAGATTAAACATATAGATTTAGCAAAATGGCTCCCATCTTGGTGTCCACTAGATGTTACGAACTGGTATTCCCATGGGTATTACATCCATTTTAGCTGGCTTGATCCATTATCACTGTGCTTCTCGGTGTGTTTTTTAGAAATTACCTCTAAAATTGATAGATATGCAAGAGTTTATTTTATTATCTTTATTTTATTGCAAACAGGATATATATCGATTTTTCTAATTAGGGAGTAACAAGTATAATGTTCAGTATTTAAGAGAAGTATCATCAAGTGTTTTTATTTTGCAGAACTTCAGGAAGCTGGCCTTCTAACAAAGTTTCCAAAAAGACCACATACAGATTATGATCGGGAAGAGCACAAACATAAGAAAAAGAGGGAAGTTTGGAAGGAACATGGCAAGAGAGGAAATCATAAGAACCTAAGGAAAAAGTCTCAGGCAGATCTAGTCAAAGAAAGGAAGCGTAAGAAGGAAGTTCAGAACAACTATATGATAGAAGAATGCTTTCCTAGAGGTGGCCACGTGAATGCACATAAGAGGTGCAGAAGGAAAACTCCTCATCATCAAAGTGTTGGCTTTTTGGCAGATGGCAAAACTGAAAATCACCGAGTTTCTATGCAGTCAGCAAAAAGGCAGAAGAGAAAGAAAAAGAAGAGGAGCCACACAAACAATACCAGGGATGAAAGTTTATTTCTTATCAAACAGAAGAAAAAGAAAACGACACCGAAAGCCAGCTTTATCTGAGGTGGAACTTTATTCCTTCTGTCACAGCACAGAGTGTGTCTCGGTAACCATTCCACAAGGAGAGCATCTTGGTTTGTAATGTTATTTATGCATTAGAGGTACATTATTTGATAAATGTTTTTATAATTCCTGCATTAGATGGACTATAGAGGAAAGGGGTAGGGAGTGACAAGATGAAAGCAATTTTTTTAAAAAAGGTTCCTCAGTTGTATACACTCTTTGTAAATCTGTGTCTCAAAATACTTCTGCTTAATGCATACAGTTTATTTGCACGCACATTTTGAAGGAAAAGTAGACAAATTGACAGGTGCCCCAGGTATGGATACAAGAACAGATGGAGGTAACCATTTCACCTGCTTAAAAGAAGAGACAAAAAGAGGAAGTTTAATAAGTGATTTGCATTTACAGGCCTTAGGAAGGCGTAGCGGTATCATGTTTCCTCTGCTGATTTGTTTTGAAAAATGTGTGGAATGGATTTAAGAAACAGGGAAGGATGTTGTAGGAGAAATATTATTTGCTTCCTAATTTTATTTTCTCAGCAGAGTGTTTCAGGATGTGGCCATCTTATGCCACATTCTTAGATAGGATTATCCTCAAATTTGCCAAGGACTTAGCACTGTAATTTGATTTGACAGGCCAGGTCAGTCTTTGTTCAAGTGAGAAAGTGTAAGCTGCATTGAAGTCCAATTTTTAAAGTAGATAATGACGTACAGCTTTTTCATGTTTCTGAGAAATAAATGATTTTATAACTCATTTTGTTACAATGTGGTATTTTTGTACTTTGAATTGCAGTTCAAAATTTATGTCTGAAAAACATTGCAATACCTAAAGGGAAAGTAACCATTTTGAAGCTCACTTTTTTTTCTTTTTCAAAATCAAGTGTTCCTTCTTCTTTCTTTAATACTGTCAATTTCATGTGATCTCCAGTGAGACTTCAGCTTCCAAAACGTGCTGCTTTTTTCACTCTTGTTAATTTCTATGTAAAAGATGCATTTTACATAAGGGTTGATTATTAAACATTAAAATGTTGTTTTTATACTGAGTCTGGTTTTTTTTTTTAGCAAGTTAAAATAACAAGTAATCAAGATATGATAATAATAAAACATATACCATCTTTGTCAGGCACAAGAAACCAGGGTCCAAGATTGTTCAAATATCTACAAATTTAATCCATGCGAGCTCACTACAAGAATCTGAACTACTGCACATGAAGGCAAATTGGCAGTAGATGAGAATGGGGCTGGACTTAGATCTCTCGTGGGCTTGAAGAGACTCGAAACCAATTACAAGCTTGATCCCAGTCTTGGACTCAACTTGATCATCTCCTACATCCTTAGTACTATTGCCTGGAACATCTAATGAGTAACCTATCCATGCTATAGTCTAGAGTTAATAGGACTTGGTATGTAAACAAAGTTGTGGTTATAAGTACACCATAGGAAATTTACAAAAGAAAGACGCTCCTGCAGGAATATTAATATAAATGTTCTCTTTTGCAAGGTGGAAGGTGAAATTCGGAAATTGTAGATGAAAGGATTCGGCTTTGCAATTAATGCTTGAAAAGTAATTCAGCTGAGCATTAATATTGGGCAGGACAGCATTATACTATCCAACAGTGAAAGGTGAATAGCAACATGCAGAACAGAATGAAGGGAAATCCAGTTGAATACAAAGAAGTGATACCATCAAGGTAGGATGATGGACTGCATCATAAACTGAATATAGGACACTACGGTTCTAATTTTAAAAAATAGAATAATCTTTTACATATCTGTTTTTGGTTTCTATTTTTATCTATTCAAATCAAAATTATATCCCACCAACACATTAGAAATGGGTATGAATATGTTTGTCTTTTTAAAACTGTCTTAGTCTTTACCTTGAAACTGACTGAGGCTAGTTCTTATCTCTGAAAAAAAGCATTGCAGAGATGCACCCAAGGCCTGACTGAGGGAGTCTACACTGCAGGTATAGCAAAAGAGAAGAAACAGGCAAAGCATGGTGTCTAGAATTCTTTCCAATCCTATTAACCAGCAGCAGCCTGAGCAGCCATAAATAGTTTCTTCTGTATTCTGGACTAGCGTATTGCATAAGCACAACATACGTTTCTGCTTCCTTGTCTTTGTCTTAATTTTTTTTCTGATCGTATACACTGATCGTATGTGTGTATAGACTCCTCTGGATTTGTGATCAAAAGTGGGGGGATGGGCTTAGAATAAGAGCAGTTGGCAGCACCCTCTTGTCATTTCCTAAATAGGAGTACATTTAGGGGTGGGATTTTTTTTTTCTCCACAACCCCAGTTCGGTTCTCGCTCACTTTCAAATTCAGTCTTCTGTTGATTTCTCTCTCCTCCACTCCCAGTGGTCCTATTTTCTTTTCAGAGTGGAAGGCCAGAAGGATAGACATGCTGCCCCCTTTTGTATATTTTCTTAACAGAATAACAGAGTTGAAGGGAACCTTGGAGGTCTTCTAGTCCAGCCCCCTGCTCAAACAAGAGACCCTATATCATTTCAGACAAGTGGCTGTCCAATCTCTTCTTTAAAACCTCCAATGATGGAGCACCTTTAACTTCTGGAGGTAAGCTATTTCACTGAGTAATTGTTCTCACTGACAGAAAATTCCTCCTTAATTCTTAAGTTGGATCTCTCTTTGATTAGTTTCCATCTATTGCTTCTTGTTCTGCCTTCAAATGATTGACCCCCCCGCCTCTTTGTGGCAGATATTGGAACACTGCTATCACCCTTCGTCCTTCTTTTCATTAAACCGGACATACCCAATTCCTGCAACTGTTCCTCATATGTTTTAGCCTCCAGTCTCTTAATCATCTTTGTTGTTCTCTGCACTCTTACTAGAGTTTCAACATATTCCTAACATTTTGTTAAGTTGGAAAAAATAAAGAAGCCTGCTGCTGAACTGGGGAGGAAAGATAAGGTTTTGCAAAAGGAAATTGTTCAAACGATGGTGTGTGTGTTTGTGTGTGTGGAGCAGTGGTGGGATTCAAATTTTTTTTACTACTGGTTCTGTGGGCATGGCTTGGAGAGTGTGGTTTGGTGGGCGTGGCAGGGGAAGGATACTGTAAAATCTCCATTCCCTCCCCACTCCTGGGGGGAAGATTACTGCAAAATCCCCATTCCCCCACCACCCCACTAACTTGCTTTCCAGCTCCATTCTCCTGTACAGGGCAACAAAAGAAGACCCAGCCGATCAGCTGGGACTCAGGAGGCAGAGAATAGATGGGGGCAGGGCCAGTCAGAGGTGGTATTTGCCGGTTCTCCAAACTACTCAAAATTTCTGCTACCGGTTCTCCAGAACTGGTCAGAACCTCTGGTGTGGAGGGCATTCTGTTCCATTTCCTCCCCCTTTTTATTCATTTAAAAGATAGCAAGAGGCAATTTTAGCCAAGCTGTAAAAGACTGATGATGATACCTAATTGGGTAATGAAACATCTGCAAGAAAAAAAGCGTACTCAGAGATCACCAAGACCCCAACACACAGTATCAGTTTCCCAACTCCAAGCTTTCCAAATTGGTTTGCATTCTTTTGTGGGCAGGTCTCCAATCCCCACTGAAAACCTGGCAGAAATCTGATGCAAAAGTCCAAACTGAGCATTTTTTTCCTTGTTCTGTAATTCTTAACCTTAGAACAACATTAAACATAACCTTAGTAACGATATATGTTTAATACACATGTGTGCCTAGCTATATATGTCCCTCATCTTCCTAAATGCTAGAATTCCTGTTTAGATTTTTAAGAAGGGATTAAAGAATTTAGTGGTCATTTTCCATGTCTCACAATTGGAGCAAATGTGAGACATGGAAAATGACCACTAAATTCTGTAATCCCTTCTGCTGGTAAATAAAGTTATTTGTAATTGGAGCAAATACAAATAACTTTATTGCTGCCATTTACCAGCAGACACAACTAGGGCAATCAATCAGTTGGTCTGGAACTAGCTGATGACCATTGGACAGATATACCGTTGATCTTCTTTGTCCATCTGATACAGCCCCGTTGCCAATCGCATTCACATGTTAGGTTCCATGCTGCTTTTTCTTTTGAGTGAGTCTTCTTCCAGGTCTCAAACTTGAAGATCTCATGGACTTTATCCTGCTCAAGACAAACCTCCAAGCAGTTCCAAACAGCCCAGTTAGTTTTAGGATCACTAGCGATTGTTATTAGGATTAGGAACAATAGGCCATTTTAAACCTGTAGCAGTCTACCATAACTTTCATGACAAAGTTGCTGCTTGTCATAATTCTCTCTGAAGTTAATGTGTTATCCTGGATTTTTAAGATTCTCATACAAACTCACACACTTTTAAAAAGACACTAGATGACACACATCCAATCTTTGTAAGTCTGGCTAAAAGCATACAACTGTTATAAACTCCCAAAGTATGTCCATAACATTATTGTAATCATATATAGCAGTAGGAATATTAAAAAGAAAAAGATCTGATGACCATTAATTGAGGCTAGTTTAAATTATTTGTTTAAAAACCTGCCATAAGTCAGTTCTCAAGAAACAAGCTAGAAGCTATGTATGTATGTACGTGGTTTTGATTTTGAAGCTCGAAGGGAAAGGTGCTGGGATTTTTTTAAGCAATGTTAATTAGGTCTTTCAACCCCTCAAACACCTTCCCCAATAATTCAACTTCTTAATTATCCTATAAATGGCTTAATGGTTACCTAAAAATACAGTTTTTATCCTGTTCTTTAATGCTTACACTGATTCTAAGCTTAAGGAAGCAAACTTACCCCGTGACTGAGCAACCACAAGCCTAAATCTGTCTTAAAAAAGCGTTCTATTGAATACCAGTTGGATTTTCTATGCACTGTAGATTTTCATTCCGTGTTTTAATTTTTACTTTAATTACTAAACTTTTAACAATACATCAACGTAACCCCAAGCTTTTAACATAATAATGTAAATGTTGGACCTTAAAAGGAATTAAGTTTGCTTTAGGAAACTTCTTTCATTAAAACCTTCAAGAAATGCCTTTGAAAATAGCGCATGTGTGTGGGTCTGTGTATTTGGGTGCATATGTGTATGTTTATGCCTGTTCTCATGTTTATTTCTATAGATTAAATAAGGATCAATGGATTTGAGGTTTTGATAAAATACGGTTAGCATCTATTAACAGTTTCAATGTCTACTTTTAAAACTGAAGGGTGCTTTATCCACTGCTTTGATCTTTCACAACCACAGTATATTTACAAGTAATAAAAATAAATCTAGAAATCTGTAACATACATTATATTCATATGCTCTCTTTTTCCAACAACCATTTGTAATTCTAATCAATAGATATATGCCATGAATGTCACATTTGTAATTTCAAGAACTGAGATACTAAAGATATTTTTCTCTTCCATATTAATAGAATAGGTTTGAATATTAAACAAAAGATAATATTTCCAGTTTTGATTACTGCCTCATAGGTAGTAATCAAAATCATATTTTCATCAAATTCAGACCATTTCTTTGCTTCAGAGAATCTAGTGAGGATATTTGGATCAGGAAAGAAAAAATCTTCAACTCGCTGCAAATATTTGAATTAACCTGGAACATACCTGGGTATGACATTTTAACAGCTAAATGTATGCTTAACAAATATTGATATTGTAAATGTGAAATATAAAGCTCTTTCCTGACTAGCTCAAGAAATTGTTTCCTTTAATAATTTAACTTTGTTCTACCTTATGTATATATTACATAATACCTTACTCTCCTCTGTAAAATTAATTTTA